CGGGGCGCGGGGAGGGCCCCGCAAGGTCAGGGACGCCGGGCGGTCGCAGCTGTTCGGAGGTTGGACTCGGAGATGTCAGAGGGCTTTTCCAGCCCAGCTGATTCTCTCTCCTCGGGCATGCTCCTGTGAGGGCAAGTTCCTTATAGAGCTGCAGAATGCCTTGTAGCTCCATGTCTCTAGGCAGGTTATCTTTTACGGTTCTCATTGCCGTGCCTCGGATGTGTGTGATCATACTTATGCACGCCCAGGTATATGTAACAGAGTGACATCAGTTATATAATTAGCTATGTATAAATATATAAATAAAAATATACGCACCATTATCTGTATGGTCTATAATAATGCATTATATAAGTCTATATAAATACTTGTAACTACATACATAACTAATTGTATAATTATAATTAACTAAGTACATAGGTGTAAATAGCTTCCCGGTGAACTTGCATTTCATTTTTGAGTAACGTTTTTTCTGTGTGGCCTAAGGAAACAAGTCTTAATGTGAACATTGCTTCTCTGCTTAACACCCCTTCGCCTGAACTTGGTGCTTGGTTTCACCAAGGAGAGAAAACCAGATCATTCCCAAGTGATGAGGTAACAAGTTTCACAAGCAGCAGAGCAGGGAGACCCATAAGGTGCTTTCCGCACATGCCTGCACCTCAGTAGACACCAGCATATTAATAAGTCCCAAGAAGTCCTCTTCACAGAAGAGAAACTTCAGTTAAAGCATAAACACATCTGCAAGAGACAGATGTATAGACAATCTTCCCATTATTTTTCATGCTCCTTGGTACCAAGCCATACTGTAAGTAAATCAAATTTATATTATTACATAAATCAAATTTAGATATATTGTATAAATACTGGCTTGGTAGTACTTTTGAATCTCAAAACTATTTTCCTTTCTGTGGAAGGAAATTCTGCTCTGCTTTGCAGTGGAAGGTGGTTAGCAAAGGTAGAATCTGTTGCCTCCCAGTTTACCAGTGGAAGGGTGATGCAGGAGAACTGCCCCATCCCTTCTACCTGCAGTAGCTGAGATCTTGTGTGTTAAAGTAACTTGGGCTGGGGCATCAGGAATAAGCAGGAGGAAGACTGCCTGTATTCTCTACAGAGGAAAGGAATAAGTGTATTTTAATTGCCTCTTGTGCCAACTGATAGATCCTCGAATCAGAGAAATTTGTACCTACCTCTCAAATGCCTGATGCTATTGTGATTCTCAATTGCCTTTTACTTGATACTGCTGAAATGTTTCTGCATCACTGCTTTCAATTTTAACGTGAGCTGAAGAGACAAGTTACAGGTTACTATTTTCAGTGCTAAAATCTTCCTTAAAATAGTTTCAGAAAAGGAAGGAAATATTTACATTGAAATGTTTACATTGAAATATCTTCAGCCGTTTTTAAAGTGAAGTAAACAAATAGTGAAAATATTTCTCAGTTTTGAAACGTTTTAAGAGTAGATTACAGGGAAAATGGTGACAAAAATTAGACTACAAGTAACAGAAGTTTAATTTTGAAACCTGACATTTAGTGCTATTAACTATGATATGTTCATGGAAAGGAAACTAATTTAATAACTGTTTTGAGTGTGTGAGTATAAAGAACTTTGCAAATATGTCTGTCTTCTAACAAGATGCTAGGAGATATTAGCACATAGTTAGCATGTCTCCTCTCATCCTTAATTTTTGTTTTGTTCTGGGGTCTTTTTCTCACCCAAATAATAGTCTATTTCAAGTGTGATATTTAAATCAGACTTTCACATTTTTGGCCTGTGAGACTTGCTTTGCATCTTATGTTATCCTGTGGTTCCCAGTCCCAGGAAGACTTGAACTAGGCAATTTAGGATAGTGGACTGGGGACAAACTGGGATTAGGTAACTCAGGGCTCTAATTACATGCTAATTAATTTATGTTGGAGTCAGTCCTCTGTCCCGGTTTTGGCTAAGATAGAGTTAATTTTCTTTGTAGTGGCTTGTTCAGTGCTGTGTTTTGGATATAGTATGGGAATAATGTTGGTAATGCACTGTTTTAGCTGTTGCTAAATGTGCTTACTCTAAATCAAGTATTTTTCAGATGGCCATGCTGTGTCAGTGAGGGGATGCACAAGAAGGTGGGAGGGAGGATGGCCAGGACAGCTGACCCAAACTGGCCAAGCAGATATTCCATACCATACAACCTGTAGAATGTTCAGTATATAAACTGGGGGAAGTTGGGTGTGGGGGGTTGATCACTGCTCAGGCATGGGCAGGGCATCAGTCAGCAGGTGGTGAGCCGTTGGATTGTTTCTGTTGTGTTTTATTCTTTGCACTCTTCCTGGGCAGCAGGACACTGTTTTGACCAGAGATAGGCTGGAAGCTCCAGGGCAGTTCTTGCAGGACTTACCAGCATAGCTGTGAAGTGCCTGGTTCTTGCCTAAGAGTCACACAGCCATGAGTGAAGCCAAGGTACTGCTGCTGCATCATGTACATGAACCATAACTGTATCTCTTGCCTTTAATTTTATTAAACAAAACAAAAAACAATAAAACCAAACAAAAAATCAACCTAATCAAATCACTAAACATTGATACAAACTGGTTGTTTAAATTTCCTGTTAAGTTTCTTTTTTTTGGAAAATGTGTACTTACAGCTCTGATAAAGGTATTTTAGCATGTTGAATTTCCAACATTTTTCTTCCCAATTTTCTTTTTTGTTAGGCTAAGCATATACCTTGCTATATGTACTTTAATGTTGTCAATATTCAGCTTACATCTGGAAATGTTCTTTCCTCATGCCTTCTGTTGCATTAAGGGCATCTGGTACAGAGTGGCATGATGTCTCGTGTTACAGAAAATTAGTATTCTTAATTTATGTTAAAGTAATATATCTTGATGTATATTCATCAGAGGGTAAAGATTATGGATATGATGATTGCAGTGATGTTTCTTGACTTTGAATGAGGATTTCAATATGAAGTGTAATCTTAATAAGTCATCTGAAACGCTTTTTGCATGAAAATTTCCAAGGATGTCTTATTTTAACATGAAACTACTTAACTATTGCTAAAACTCTTCAGGCCCTCTTTGGGTAGTCAGACCTTCTGGGTGTGCTTGAGTATACTAGTTCATAGCCTGTGGTGTGCTTTCTTGTCCTCCAATTTGATTCATATTAGCTAAAGGTTTAGAAAACAGGCCTGGTGTTTCAATCACGTTATGGTTGCCTCAAATGATGGCCCTGCTTCCCTTGCTATTTAAATTATGTTGATTCAGGGGAGCTAGGGGTTTTAATTCAAGCTTGTAGCCAGCTGGGAGTCAGCCTCTTGTCTCAGGCAGCTAGGGACAGGGTGAGATAGCCTTGGGTTGTGCCATGGGGAGTTTCAGGTTGGACGTCAGAAGGAATTTCTTCACAAAAATGGTTGTTAAGAGCAGGCTGCCCAGGGAGGTGGTGGAGTCACTATCCCTAGAGGTGCTCAGGGGATGACTGGACTCAGTGCCATGTTTTGGTTTACAAGCTGCGTTTGATCAAAGGTTGGACTCCATGAATTTAGAGATCTTTTTCAGTCTGAATGATTCTGTGATTGTGTCTCACAAATGGAACAAATTGCCTTTATTTTTTGTGAAGCATGGTGGAAAACCTGTAGGGAGATTTCTAAGATCAGCTTTAAAAATAAAGGGGGAAAAAATGTGGTAAAAAGCTCTGAAATTATATTGCTGTAGTAGGTGAGTGGTTCATGTTGTTTTCCTGTAAAGGAGATGAGAAGGGATCTCATCTTGTTCAGAATGCACAGGAATTGAGGGATTTGATGTTAGAGCCAACCATGTAGATGGCTAATGAAGTTTTGTAGGAAACCTAAGCTGACCTATTTACTTTTATAAAATAGGAAATCTATCCATTGAATATTCTTGGAAGAGTTTTTAAGTGGGTACAACCAATAATAGACTGCAAGTCCATATGTGTTTATATAAAAGTAGAATATAGATATTGTGGTTTTCCTGTCATTGGTATTGGATCGCTACTTTGTGTCTGGAAATCTGCTGGGAAATATTAAAGGGAGATACAAAGAAAGTAAGCTTTGTTGTTCAGGAATTATGCTTGTTCAGGTAGATTCAAATTAAACATATGAATTATTAATATATGTTCCTATCTATTTTCTAAATATTTAATATTTTAATTAAAATAATTGGTACTTGTTTACAGGAGACTACTGATATAATTAGATTGATACTGATTATTACCTTGGAATGCTATTGAATTAATGTTGACAGGTATGATAAGTCAATTAGTTCAGCAGTCTCCTAAATCATGGTAGCTGATGAGAATGCTTACATAAGATAAGTAATATTAAGATAGTATTGATTACTTCCATTTCAGATTGCAGTAGGTACAATATTCAGTTAAATAATTTCAATAACAATTTGTTTCACATTTTAGCTTTAATTTTGAAAATGACCATTTTGCACTTTGCTTTTTTAAAAAGCCTGATCCTCTAGATGAGAGAGCCCGGACTGTCTTTTAGACAAGCAGAATCATTCTGCAGAATTATACAACATTTTCTCAATCTAATAAATTTAATAAATTGCCTGTGAAATTCTTTGGCCACTCTTGACCCTGAAAACCTTTTTACAAGCTTTCAAATGAACCGTCACATAGCCTCTCAGGAATGACTAAATTGTTAAATCGGTGTATTTGATGCAATACAAATAATTGTCATCCTTCAAATTTATTTTCAGTTGCCTGCGTCACTTGCAGTATTTACTTTGCTGGGATGATTGTGGGATGCTGTCATATCTCAGAGTATATAGTTGTTCTGATATGTCTTTTTCTGCTCGCTTACAGAACTTTTTTGCTTCTTAATTTTCTGGGCGAGTATGATTTTCCCTCCCCTTCTTGATTTATTTTTAAACTACTGGCACTCGAAAATATGTTGAAATGTTGAATGGAGAATTTGAAGAGCAAATAGTCAAAGAGGGTGGAAGAGGAAATTGTGGCCGGTACTGGAGTCTGACTAAAATGGGAATGGGATGTGTGGGTTGCCTTTGGTGCTGTCTTTCAGCAAATAATGTAGGTAGTATAAGTATAAAATGGCTGCTGGCATTCTGAATTCTGCTCTCAGTTTCAGTGAAGTACATTATATAAGAGATGTTTTCTTTTCCTGACAAAGAAATATAATTTTTTGGAAGTAAAATACGTCTTTAGGTTTTTTGCCATTTTATTACTTTTATTAAAGTCGTGAAATAGGATTTTAGAGTAGTATTTCATTTTAACATTCCTG